CAGTTTCCCTCGGAAAGCTCAAAAGACACGTAGCTTGGCAAGGGAATTGGCCGAAGAATAAGTTGGACACGATCCAGCGTTACAGGTACGGCTGTACGAGGCTGTTGATCAGGTTAGGTTGGGCCTGGGCTGGGTTCTGGATCCCCTGGTGCACGCTCGTAGGTTCGCACCAAATCGTGATTCCCCGAAGTGGGGATGTCGAGTGAAAGGAATAGCCGAAGGAGGTAGAACCGAGAGAGGAACGAACGGATCGAAAGCGGGAGAACGCCATAGTCCGACGGCGGCCATGCTTCTCAACGCGCGCCGCAAAATCGTTTCCATCTTTGAACACGTTTCCCATGACCTCCTCGATCGGACAACCCGTTCGCGATAAAATCGAAACGGTATAGCGCGTACCTTTTATCCAACCGTATAAAAACCAGAAATCGATAAGTTTTTGCGACGACGCACGCACGCACACGGTTTACCAGGTCCGGTATAGGTCAAATTCGCGGTGACCGGGATCAAGCGTCGTATAAATAAAGGGAAAGTTAGAAAAGTTTCGAAAAAATGACGAATTCTCCTTCGATAGTTAGAAATTTATAGAAAATTCCAATGCACTTTACCGCGCGCAAGCTAAACTACCACCCGGGTCGACGAAAGCGTCGCTCTATTCCGTTGCTGTTCGAATGAAACTATCGTGTGTCAATTAGGTGTCCGTAAAAAAGAGAACGGAATCGAACGATGTAGAATTTCTGTCGATACGATGGCAGAGAATGTTCAACGAACTTTTCGGGCCCTTCTATCTATCTATAGCTCGCTTTCGGCAAATAATACAAAAAGATAAGGGAAGCTTCGTCCGAATCGGTGTTTTCATCGCGACAACATAAACCAACGTTGTAAAAACACGTTAGCCATATACGGCAACGGTGTACACGCGGACATAGGAATATCCATTTTTCACGTACAAACAGAAACACAAGGCGCGGTAACCGCCTACCATTCGACCACCCCTGCAACACTCTCTGTCTCCTTTTCCAACCTTCGTCCCCCTACTCTTGCGCCCCTTGGCTATTCCATCTCGTCACGCGTCCCATTTTTATTCAAATTCATCTGGGAGCTCCTCCGAGCGTCGGTCGAGGGAGTGCTGGCCGGTTCGCCAGTTTACAGGCCGGTCCTCTCCCTCCGATTCCATCTCGCTTCTCCGACCTGCGACGTTCGCCTTTCTCTTCCCCTCGTTTTCCATAAATTTTATATTTTATCTAGTCTACCCGGTTGCAACGTCGCTGTATCGCGCCTTTATTCTCGTACCGGGCACCAGCAGACTTTGGACCAACGGATTGCCGGAGTTCTCTGTGAGTTCAGAATCCTGGTTCGTCGATGTCGAGGAGGAAAGATTTTATCTTGGAAATTATAGACAGTGTAAAGTAGATTTATTCGAGCCAAGTCAAGCTCGTGACTCGTCGATATCGTTTGTAATTCGGCAGATTTGATTATTTTGCAAATATATATCTGAAGATGGTCTACGTATGAATCACGATAAGTGACATCTCTGCGAATAGTACGACTAACGCGTAACGGTTAAGGCGTAATTCTTCCCAATGAATAGACGAGTCTGGCATCGGTCGTACGACTCGAACCATGGACTCTTACCCATGAACGAGGTACTTGTACGTTTGTTCCATAAATTTCAAAAGACAAGAAGAGAAGGTAAAGTGGAAACAGCAGACACAGAAGAACGTAATTAGTGGCAAACCTTAATTCGGCTTCGACGTAACTGTCTATCTGTTCGACGGTTGATTCGTCGAGTTTCAGGGGCATGGCCGCGCGTGCACGTGGAACAGGATGGCGTGTGCGGTGCGTGCGTGAAAAGGAGTAAAATAACGCTGAACATGCGCGCACCATCGGCCGATCGTAAAAGCAGAGGGACCGGAACGAACTGTACGCGTTGATAGTTCCTACACATACGGTTTTCTTTCGGTCGCGTTTAATGAAATTGCCTTTTCGTGGCGGGAATTCCGGGCCCCTAATGAAGATCATACGGCCAACCTCGCTGAAATATAGCCGCTGATAGCCGATGATAAAACAAAGCCCCGCTGGATCGCATTAAATCCATCCTAGGACGGGGGATGGACGAAGAAAAGACGCCACGACATCGACGACGCGGACGTGTCCGACCGTTAATCTTCGGATTACGACGACCGCCTTCTAGAAACGTGACGTGGGATTTCTTCTTCTTAACGCTGCGCTGTCGCGGGAAAAACGAATCGCTCGAAGCTTCCGGATGCGTACTTTGCCCTCCAAGGAAATAAATCTCGCGTTTCGATGGGATTACGATGCTTACAGAGGTTCCGTTTAGACAGTCGAAAAATTCGACAAAGATTCCAAACTATTTTTCTGCGTACCTACGACTCTGCTTCTCCGATGGAGTTTCGCGTTATTTTCACGACTTTCAGAAGGATAGAATCGGTAATCCCCGGCTCGAGGAGAAAGTAATGGCTGGCGTAATTCGAGTCGCGAAAGAGTAAAAGCGCGTAATACGCGCTTTTAAGAATGTCGAGCAACGGAAGAGAAAAGCGTATCGCGTAGATCCCTGCAATTGTCGCGGTACGATCGAGAGAAAAAACCAGGTGAAACGAAATGAGAAATCGACTCACCTTCCGGCTGAAACGACAAGGGCGATGAGATGGTTGCGAAGCGACGACGTTGCAGCGTCGTCGAGCGTCGCGACGGTTGCAGGGCCGAGGGAGGGGATGCCGCTGCCCTTTTCCCTTCCAAGGGTTTCCACGGCCCGAGCGGCTAGTCCATGCCGTCTCGTTTTCCAGCTGCTGAAACATCCAATGCACGTTCAAGCGATTCGCAACGTGGCCGCCGGCCAAACACATCGGACAGTGCCGCTCGTTCCTCGGCTTTGCTCGTCCACCGATGCTTCTCTCTCTCTCTCTCTCTCTCTCTCTTTCTCTTTGTCCGCGCTCCAAAGCAGAAGAACCAGCCTCGAATCGCGTTTCCGTCTCGAATCACGATCCAATCCCGAGAGAAACGCTTCCTTTCATCGTTTCTTCCTCCCCTTCCCACCGATTATACTCGGCCACTCGTGTTCAACTTTTTACACGCGATAACGTACGCGGTCGTCGGGCCGATAGCGCTTTCCGCGTTGCACTCACTGTAACGCGAAACGCTCGCACGATCGAGGTTCGCGAACCGCGGCTCTTGCTGTCGCTGCTTCGTCTAAAGGTTACGTAGATCGCGTGGATCGTCTATGAAGACCGTATACTCGTGAAACGTGCAACTCGCGAACCAACGACCCATGTCCTTCGAACGATGTCCTTCGCCGAACCAAGCGGGACGAAGCACGAAGCGTTTCGTATGCACACGTGGCGTCGATTCGCGATAAGAAAAGCGAACGAGACGAAGAGCCGCGAGACTGGAATCGAGGCGAAGAGCGATGAAAACGCGCGAACCTGACGTTAGCGAATCTGGCGATGCATCGCGTTGGCCGAGTTGCGACTGCGGCTGCCGGCGCGGCGGCGAGTAGCGAAGCGAAGAGATGTTACAGCTCTATACACGCATTGGCGAACGTAACGTAACGGAAATACACGCGAGGCGAGCCAGGCGAACGAGTTAGCTCGCTGCCAAAGCTTGGCAGGTCTACAGACTATGCGTGCAGCCCAGGCCAGATCGCCGGTAGGTACCGCGGCCAACGGGATCTACTACTATGCTCCAACTGTACCGGCCTTTTCTATCTCCCTTTCTCCTCTATTTTCCTCTCGCTTTATCTCGCTGGTCGCCGCGTCTCGCGGCGGTCGGATCTCTCGCCAAGCCGACAGAGCACAGGCCGAGAGCGGATTTGTTGCGAGCGACACGTAATAACGACCGCCTCTCTTTGCCTCGCACACGCTAGCGTCGCAAAACCGTAGGATGGAACCCGGTCGAAGCAGGCCAATCAGGCAGCCACCGTATCTACCTGCGGACTGCCTTCTGTGTAGCACCTGCGGCCAACGTGGCCAGGCCTTGTAGGTACTTTGTAAAATGCCGGCGACCGTCGATGACAGATCACCTCGGCCTCCTCTAACCCCCAGCCCGTCTCTTTCCCTTCTGGCGATACTAACCGAGCCCTTCACCTTTCTCCCTCTCTACCTTTCTCCCTTTGGCTTTCTCGTATAATCTTACTAAAACTTTTATATCCTATTTACCGAGGCTCGCGTTATTGATGTTTCTGTTCTCTGTGTCAACGTCAACGAGAAAATATCGAGCCACGATTAATCGCTGCGATTTCCCCATAGTCGATCTCAGTTTTTATTTCGTTTTATCAGTCACGCGTTTCTTCGGTGATTAACTTCTGACCACGATTAAAATTATTCGTCTACTTATCTGCGAAACAAGGTTCCTATTAAGGGTTCCAAGATTAACCCTTATCGCAATACCTTCTGAACGTTACCAAGAGTTCGCTAACCTTTTACCAGGAGTGACCAAGATGGAGATCGTATTTGCCAGAGTTTCTCGGAAAGCGAGAAACTTCCAATCCACCTCCACGATCGCGGGGACGGAAGATCTCGAGAATCGAACTAATTGCGAAGGGAAACGAGTGGCCAGTGCGCGAGTCGCGGCGTAGAACGTCGCTTGATTGAGTCACTAGCCGCTTTTATTTCGTTGCCTATTACCCAGCCTGGAGGCCGCAAATGCGAAACAAAGGCTCTCTCGCCATTGATTGAACTCGCTTGTCTCTCGGAAACGTTTAGCGGTCGAAATTGGCGGTGCTTTGGCGCTTTCTCGCCGCGATGCCGGCTCCCAGAGACCGCTCATTATCTCTATCATCATCGTCATCTTCTTCATCGTCGCGGGCATCGTAATCATCATCGGTATCGTGGCGAATCGGACCGCGAACGCGCCACCCGTTCTCCGATGCCTCCGCGTTGCTCGTAAAAATATCCGAGGCCGTTTGCGGAACGCTTCGAACGGGCATAAACGGTCCGCAAAGCACATGGAATGTCAGCGTTTATCCTGGATACGTGTATTCTTCTTATTCGTGGCATATTACGCGTGCTTTCGTCAGTTACTCAACTCCCACCCCCGAATTCTTCCTTTTTTTTATACAGCCTTACAGCGGTGGCAAAAGCTGCCAAGATACAGCGATCGGTAGGAAACGAGAGTCCTTCTCTCTCGAATTAAAAAAATTCGTTCTATCTGTTCGACGCTCTAATAATTTTAGGAGAAAGAGACGTTAAATTTTGTAGATCATTCAACTTTCATCCCCGAATTCACGATTACTGGAATTTTTGTCGATTATTCGTATTTGCGTTCGATTTTTCGATTTGCATTGAACTTGATCTTTTCCTGTTGGATCGTAAAGTAGAGTTTCCCTCGTCGGTCTCGCACTCTCCTCCGATATTTGTGAAAGAAGGGAACACTGAATTTTGTAAATCGTTCGAGGAAAGTTCGAGGAATTGTTTCTCTCCGACGAAAGCTTCTCGTTCGTATCGAGCCTATCGGCCAAACGATAAAAATGTCAAATATATTCGTGTTGCCCTTCACAGAGCGGCGTACAACGTCGAATACTTTAATTAACACGGTTGAAAAGGGAAACGGGGCTCTCTGCGAGAAGGAATTTCGAAAGAATCACTGGCACGGACCGCGTGCGGATTTTAATGTTAATTCCAGCGATTGGCTCGCCCTGGCTGTGTCGAGATTTCAGGTCCAACCCACGATATCTTAATAGGTTCCCTGCTACTCCGGTCGCATGATGGCCGCTCGTTTATTTTCGATCGCCTGCTTCGCTCTCCGACAAGGCTTCTATTCAACGAAATTATTAACTACGAGGATCTGTTCTCGCTATCAAGAAGAAAAGCGAGAACACGATGGCGATAATGTTTTCGTCCAATAACGTCGTTATCGAGAAAATTCCTGCTTCAGACTTTGAAAAACATAAAGCGTGAATACTCTCCACTCTGCAACAGGAGCGTCGTCATTTTACAATTCCACGAATTTTCGCGATTCTTCTAGATCGCAGATGTTCGCGCATCGTAAAGATACCCGCTCGTTATGATATTTAGCGAGCGAAACAAATCATCGCGATCAGGCGTCGTGTCTTCGATCGTATTAGCAAAACGAATAAATTTGCCTAAAGATCGTCAGACTATAATAGCGACTATTAAATTTCAATATCCATCTCGTTTGTATCTCTCGTACGGATAATGGAACATCGAGCGATCACAAGAAATCCAATACACGCTCTTTTCTTTCAAAAAATTAAGGTAAAATTCAATCGTTCGCTGTTATAAATAATTCAATACGTTACGAGCTTGGTACAATTTAAACTGTGTGCTATTTAAAGACTCTCAGGGACTCGATAAAGATATGTATATGCAAATCGGGTAGACAGCCTTCTTTTTTGTCACGTTTAAAAGAAACAAACGGCAGAAAAGGATAAAAAATTGACCGCTTAATTGTGCGCGAGAAGTGGCCTACTCGCTTTTACGTCGATCCGCCGCGTGTTTTATGTTTATTATTTTATAGCAGTGTAATCTGTGGACGGTTAGGCTTAAATAGACGGCCACCGCGTTTAAATAACGACACTCGGCAGGTTTGTAAAGTCACGATTTATCGTTGATCATCGTTCGTCAAAGCAACCGTTCAAATACAAAGTTCGAGGCTGTGGATTTGATAAATTTACAACCTTAGGAAGGAAATCGTAAAACCACGGTATACCTGGCGAGAATACCGGGCATGTACCCAAGAAACCCATCGCTAATCTCTTCGTATACCGAAACAGCTATCCTCGTTAAACGTTCCGCGTTATACGTAGATTCCTCGAAAATGTGAAACAACCGAAAGCACGGAATTAAAATGTAACTAGACTAAGCGGTATATTTCAACGTACATTAGAAATGTCTACCACGTTTCGAAAACAGTCTCGTCGAAACGACAGTGTCTGCGTGCGCGCAACACGCTCGAGGCAATTGAAAATGAGCTGGAGATGGACGTTGACGATGTATCAATGGCCGTTTAATTGATCAATGGTCAATAGGTGTCAATTCGATGTTACAAGTCACGGAAAAGGTCGACAGGGGTTTGTTCTTAGCGCGTTACGATATTTATGATTACCGTGGAAGGTATTCGTCGCAATTATCGGCTGTTTAAGTCGACGCCGACTGATTCCTGTTCGGTACACGAGGATACGCTAGACGGTGTTCGCGACTCGGTCCACTCCTGGCATGCTGTTGCAGACCAGAGAAACAGGGAGAACATAAGAGCTCATAAATGTGAATTTAAGAGGCGCAATAAAAACACATTGAAATTGAGAGTGAACGAGCTAGAGCACGTGCTCCCACCGTAAGATTCTCTCGTTTCCTGATATTCGGAATGTTTAGGAAACACATCGTCGTCCCCCTTCTCAGCTTGCTTTATGCTCGCTGTATTCATCGATCAATCGCATCGTCTTCCATTATAAACCTTCGTATCGTTCAAAAGTATCGTATAATCGCTGTTGGCTGCGAAATGCAAGTTTCCAACGTCGGGTGAAACGAAAGGATCGCTTTACAACCCCCGCTGCAGGGTCATTCGCGCCCTAAGCTCGCTCAATGTCGACCGGGATATTTCGGAAAGCCATAATCCGCATATTCTTGTGTCCCGGTCGAAACAGGCCGTTTGAACGCTAACAGGGCCACGATCACCTCGTAAAAGCCCGACTAATGCGTTTTCACTTTCGTCGTCTGGAGGCTCTATGCAAAAAAAAAAACGTCACAGGGAAAAGCTCAACCCTTACGATTGTTTACCTTTGTCGAAACGATGTTTCGCCTTGGATTTGTCACGATGCGGTTTTTTCTGCGGC